GGGCAAAGTAATGTCTCTGCTTTATAATGTGCTGTCTAGGTTGGTCTTAACTTTTCTTCCAAGGAGCAAGCATCTTTTAATTTCATGGCTGCAGTCACCATCTACAGTGATTTTGGAGCCCCCTAAAATAAAGTCTGTCACTGTTTCCATTGTTTCTTCATCTATTTGCCATGAAGTGATGGGATCAGATGCCATGATCTTAGTTTTTTGAATGTTGAGTTTTAAGCTAGCTTTGTCACTTTCTTCTTTCACTTTCATTAAAAGGCTCTTTAGTTCTTCTCTGTCTGCCTTAAGGGTGGTGTCATCTGCATATTTGAGGTTATTGATATTTTCTCCTGGCAATCTTGACCTCAGCTTGGGCTTCATCCAGCCCAGCGTTTCACATGATGTACCCTGCATATAAGTTAAATAAGCAGGGTGACAATATACACCTTGACATACTCCTTTCCCAATTTGGAACTGGTTTGTTGTTCCATGTCCAATTCTAACTCTTGCTTCTTGACATGCATACAGATTTCTCAGGAAGCAGGTCAGGTGGTCTGGTATTCCAGTCTCTTTTAAGTACTTTCCACAGTTTGTTGTGATCTACACAGACAAAGGCTATGGCATAGTCAACAAAGCAGAAGTAGATGTGTTTCTGGAACTCTTTTGCTTTTTCGATGATCCAACTGATGTTGACAATTTAATCTCTGGTTCCTCTGCCTTTTCTAAATCCTGTTTGAACATCTGGAAGTTCATGGTTCATGTACTGTTGAAGCTTGACTTGGAGAATTTTGAGCATTACTTTATTAGCGTGTGAGATGAGGGTGGTAGTTTTAACATTCTGTGGCAGTGCCTTGCTTTGGGATTGGAATGAAAACTGACCTTTCCAGTCCTATGGCCACTGCTGAGTTTTCCAAATTTGCTGGCATATTGAGTGCGGCACTTTCACAGCATCATCTTTTAGGATTTGAAATCACTCAACTGGAATTCCATCACTTCCATTAGCTTTGTTCATAGTGATGCTTCTTAAGGCCCACTTGACTTTGCATTCCAGGATGTCTGGCTCTAGGTGAGTGATCACATTATCATGGTTATCTGGTGTGATTAACAAAATGGTTAAAGTTACAAATTTAAAAAATGGGATCTTGAGTCTTCCAATAAGATTCTTGAAAGGAAGTAAGGTATATGTACCCAAAGTTGATATCACAATTATACTTTTTCCCAAATGGTCAAAACAATATGGTTTATCTCACATGATCAGCTTAGAAAGTGACTTTGACATTTCTCTCATTGAAGAGTAGTTTCCATATCCTCTTCATCTGCACTAGGCAGACTTCTGACAGAAATAACACTCTGACTTCCAAGGCAGTCACCAGCATATTCATTCTAGAAATTTTCACTGACTATATAAATAGTCTGATTTACAACCACCGTGCTGGGAGCAACCTAAAATCAACCCAAGCAAGGAGGCCACATGGACAGGCCCTGTGACTCCATGAAGAGAGTGAGATGCCTTGCCAATCCCAAATTGTTCAGATCTCCAGTGCATCAGCTCTAACCAGTTGACTGTAATTGGGTAAGACTTGATCCTAAGCCACCACTGCCCAGTCAAACTTTACTCAAATTCCTGACCCACAGAAATCCTGAGAGATAATAAAGCAATTGCTGTGGTTTTAACTCTTTAAGTTTTAGGATGATTTGTTGCATAGCAAAGATAAGCAGAACACCTGAGTTTGAAATCCTTCCTTCGGCCAGCCTGTTCCCTGCATGGTTCTAAGTCTTCAGTGGCCTCCCTTCTACTCTTACCTACTCAAGACTTTGCCCTAATAATCTTGCTCAGCGGGATTATGAACAGTCCTCTTGGTGTGTAAGTTGACTCAATCCTCTTCCTTTGTTTTGAGATTTAGGAGAGTTTGGCTAATGTTGGCATTATCCTCAATGGCTCGTCTAGTTCTGAATCAATTATGCCTTTGCTGGGTTAACTGAGAGATGAGAAGATCACATATAAAAGATATGCTAGAAATGGGACAAGACGTATGAAATGTGACATTGATTTCAAGGAATTTACAATCTATTTAGTGTTTTTAAAATGTCAGTGATGAACGCGCCTGTTCAGAAAACTTCAGTGACTCCATGTGGCTCTAGGTAGAATGATCATTTCATTTATCACCCAAGTCAGTGGTGTTGAAAGTGAAAGGGGCCACTATTACTAGCTGCCTTGAAAAACCTGGCACAAATTTAGGAGGATTCTGGGAAACGAGCACACGTGGTCCTCACAGCTATGGAACCTCTTGAAGGAGAGGCATGACACCTCTTATTCATTGTCATGCTCAGCCAAACCACAGCTTCATTTAAACCCAACTCTCTTACCACTCTGTGCCTACTTCCATGTACCTGCTCTGCCTCTTCCTCTGCTGTTGTGTATATACTATCTATCCTTCTTGATGAGGACAACCCCTCCAAACATATGCCAGTTTATACCTACTCTCTCTTACCCACTCAAGATTTTGCCTCTGTAATTGTCCCCTTTGCATCCCTGGTTAGATTAGTGTTTCCCTATCATTTCCTCAGCCCATGAATATGCTGTTATATCTCCTATCTTTAAAAAAGCCTCTCTTGACTCCATTTTCCCCTTCAGTTATGACCCTAATTCCCTTCTTCCTTTCACACAAAATTATTTGAAAGAATATTCAGTCTCTAATTTCTCTTCTTTTATTCTATTTTCAGCCCACTTCAAAAAGGATTTTGCCTCTACCAGTCCATCAGAACTGTTCCAGTAGGTAATGCCCTCTGCATGCTACATCCAGTGGTCATGTCTCATCCTTTCAGCAGCATTTGACAAAGGGGATCTCTCTAAGTCTTCTCTCTAAAAAACCTCTTCATTTGACTTCTGTATCACTACACTCACCTGGCTTGATTCCTACCTCTCTGGCCACCCTTTCAGAGTCCTCTTTGCTGGTCCACACAATCCCCACCTTCCCATGCTAAAGGTTCCAGTGCCCCAAGGTTTAGTCCTTGGGTCTGGCAGCTTTTTGGCTATGTTCACTGCTTAGGGGATTTTATCCAATCTCAGAGTTTTAAACTCTCTCTACACCTGACAGTTCCCCACCTTGCATCTCTAAACTGAACCTCTTTCCAGAGCTCCGGTCTTGATGATCCAGTTGTTTACTCTATGTCTCCACTTGGATGCCTAATAGGCATTTCAAACTTAACGTGTCCAAAGGTGAACACTTGCTATTTACCTTAACACTCTTCCTTCCTTAGCCTTGCCAAGAAGATCAATGAAAACTCCATTTTTTGACAAAAAAACTGGTGTCATCTTTGACTTTTCTTCATAGCCAAATCATCAGCAAATTCTGTCTGTTCTACCTTCAGCATGTTTCCAGAATTAGACTATCATTATTTCTCAAGTTCCTAACTTGTCTTCCTGTTCCTGCCTTTGCTTTTGTTGGTCTATTCTTAACACTGCAACCAGACTTATTTTGTTAAGTCCTAAGTCAGATTATGTCACTTCTTGACTTAAAACGTGTATCTCACTGAGAGTAAAGATGAAAGCATTCCTCTCCCCATCAACTCTTGACTTCTTCTCTTTCTCTCCCTCTCATTCACTCTACCCTAGCTCACTGCACATTGCTGTCCTTCAAACAAACCAGGCATGTGTATTTGTTCACGCTGTTCCATCTCCATAGAAGGAGACAGGCATCCCCTACAGACATCTTAATGGACATCTCCTCCAATTCCCTCAAAAGTAATCCAGGGACTTCCCTGTGGTCCAGTGGTTAAGACTCCATCCACACTTCTGATGCAGGGGATGGGTTTTGATTCCTGGTTGGGGAACTAATGTCCCACACGCTGTGGGGCAAACAAGCCTGCACTCCACAGCTAGAGAGCTCATTGCTCTGCAGTGAAGACCCAGTGCAGCCAAAATAAAAAATGAAGTAATCCAAAGGTCATCACATTCGATGACCTTCCTTGGTCAACTGTGGTGGCCAGCCTCCAGCATGGCCCCAGTGATTTCTGCATCCTGATATTCATACCCTTGTGTCCCCTCCCACATTGTACCAGGGTTGGTTTTTGTGATGGCAGAAGTAATGATGTACCGCTTGAGATTAGGTGATAAAGGCCTGCAGCTTCCATCTTGAGCATGTGATCTCCTTCTTGAATCATTCTCTCTGTGTTTGAGAGAGCAAGCTGCTATGTCATGAGTAGTCCTATGGAGAGGCAAGAAACCAAGGCCTCTTGCCAAAGCTATGCGAGTTGATCATGGAAGCTCATAGTCAATATCTTGTTTGCAAGTTCACCAGAGATCCTGAGCCAGAACCATTCCTCTTAAGTCATTCTTGTCTTCCTAACCTTAGAAGTGGGTGAAATAGTAAATGTTTATGTCTACAGTTGTTAAGCTTTGGAATAATTTGTCATACAGCAATAAATAATCCAGACACACCTTATCCAAACTCATTCCCTGACATTACATTGACTTTTCTGCTTTGTGTTTTCTTCTTAGCATTAATTATGCTATTTGTTTATCTTGTTTTGGTCTTCCTCCTTAACTAGGATGTAAACTTCTGAAGGGCAGGTATTTTTGTCTGTTTTGCTCACTGTCATGTCCCTAGCACTTAGAACAGTCTGACAGATAGCTTGCACTCAACAAGTATTTGTTAAATAAGTGCACAAGTAAATGAATGAATCTGATTCCAGCCTTCTGTTTGAAAATTCTCCTACGTAAATTTACTTATAATTCTAATCTTTCTCACAGTTCTCCAAGAATCACTTTTATTCCAAAGCCTGTGGGGTCACTTCTGCTATAACATAATGTATGTGTGCCTAAAAATCACCTCATTATGCAAACGCTGTACAATAAAAACCACACGGGGAAAATGGGGTCACAAAACTTCAATATACTTTAACTTTGTCAGGCACAGCCACAAAAAGCATAAGAACCTAATAAAAGGGCAGCACAATTTATGCTATTAAATGATTAAGAAATACATGAATATTACAATAAATAGGGCACATACCTTGAAACGAACTTGAATTTTGCATATGGAAGTGGGTGTCAGAAGGGGTGCAGTTTATGAGTTGTCAGTGGTGGAGAGGGGTTATCTAAAATTGGAAAGAAAGATATAACACAGTTTCTGAGCTTAGCTAGGTGGCAGAAATTTGAGGGGTGTGCTCGTATACATTCTGTGTATTCCTACCTTGCTTAGTGCAGTTAAGGGCATTTTTGTCCATTCGCCTAGTGTTTCTCAGGGTAAGAGCAAGCTTAAGCAAAACCAAGATTTGCATTGTGCTCAAATTTCTCCCTAATATATGAACCAGGTTGGAACAAGTTCATGTTTTCAAAATAAGCCTTAGAGCAAAACTGACCGTATCTTTGTTTATATAATTTCCTAAGGCCATAATGGTCTTCTTTCTCCTTTTTGCCCAGCCAATTCCATCTTTACTCAAGGTTTATTCTTCATTGCCTGTCTTATTACCTATATAAACTTTATCTTTTTTGAACATTCTTATGCTTCCCTCCCACTTTTCTTTTATTGTCTTCTTGAAACCTCATATCAGTTCACTCCACTTGTGATTAGGTCTCTCTCTCTAACTAGCTATAAACCACTTCAAGGCTGGAGTAGCCCCAACTCATTGTATCTCTTTCTCATCTTCCAGTACTCATCCTAGGACTGTGCCTTACATTTGATGACTATTGAAAATTATTTGCAGATTTGATTTTGATCCTGAGGCAGGATTAGATGAGGCCTTTCATCTCATAGCTTAACCCCTAATGTTAACAGCACGGTCACTCAGAGAGAAAACTCAGACCCGGAATGAAGACCAGAAACCAAAACCTCAGAGTCAAGATGAATGCAATGCTGAGGAGGTGATGAGCCCCGAAACGGGCTGTGTTCACTGACCGCAGTCTGGCTGGTTTAATCAGGATTTGACCCTAGAATGAATGAATTTTGAAGAAAAGAAGGATAATTTTGATTCAGAATTTAAAATTTCTTGCCTGGAAGGAAAGTAGTTCTTAGTATTAGACATCTAATTCACCATCACAGCCTAAATTAATAGTTCCTGAAAAGTCAAGGGTGGGCTGACATTACATCTCTCTACAAAGATAGCAGGGAAAGCCACAAAATGGGTGATAGAGCAATCTTGGCACCAAAGGCTATGGTTTGGGAAAGGGAGTGGGGTGACTTTGGGGCTTTATTGATGGGGCATCAATTTGTGAAGCAAAAATGGGTCAGACCATATCATTGCTCATTCCAGGAGGCATCATTCAGATGACAGTCTCTGTGAATCTCCTATGTGCCAACTTCCAATGAGTCTTTAAAAGGGAGACTGACTGACAACCTGCTTGCTTCCAGATGTATATCAAGTATGTGGAGCTCATGGGGGCCATGGGTGTTGTAGATAGTATGTAATGCTGGAACTCCACTGAACTAATTAACGTTTATGGCAAAATAAACAACAAACAAAACCCTGCATTATTAACTCAAAAATAAGAGCTCAAGTTACAGTTATTTTACATGTGCCTTACATATCCATCAGCAGAAGCTAAAATTCCTCTTCACTTTCTACAACTCAAAAGATTGTTTATTTTTGGAGGTTCACCCTCCCATCAATAGCAACAATAAAAAGAGCTTAAGAAGAGGTGGCAAGAATACACAGAGGGACTATAAAAAAATGACCTTATACACAAAAATGAACTATACTTAATGACCCAGATAACTGTGATGGTGTGGTCACTCACCAGACATCCTGGAGTGTGAAGTCATCCTTAGGAAGCGTCACTATGAACAAAGCTAGTGGAGGTGATGTAATTCCAGCTGAACAGTTTCAAATCTTAAAAGATAATGCTGTTAAAGTGCTGCACTCAGTATTTCAGCAAATTTGGAAAACTCAGCAGTGGCCACAGGACTGGAAAAGTTCAGTTTTCATTCCAATCCCGAGGAAGGGCAATGCAAAGGAATGTTCGAACTATTGTACAATTGTAGTTCTTTCACATGCTAGCAAGATAATGCTCAAAAGCCTTCAAAGCCAGGTTTCAACAGTATGTGAACCAAGAACTTCCAGATATACAACCTGGGTTTAGAAAAGGCAGAGGAACAAGAGATTAAATTGCCAACATTTGTTGGATCCCAGAGAAAGCAAGGGAGTTCCAGAAAATTATCTACTTCTGTTTCATTGACCACACGAAAGACTTTGGTGAATCACAACAAACTGTGGGAAGTTCTTAAAGAGATGAGAATACCAGACCACCTCACCTGCCTCGTGTGAAACCTGTATGCAGGTCAAGAAGCAACAGTTAGAACCAGGCATGGAACAATAGACTGGTTCAAAATTGGGAAAGGAGTACGACAAGGCTATAGATTGTCACCCTGCTTATTTAACTTATATGCAGAGTACATCATGTGAAATACCAGGCTGGATAAACTACAAGCTGGAATCAAGATTGCCAGGAGAAACATCAACAACCTCAGATACACAGATGATGTAACTCTCATAGTAGAAAGTGAAAAGGAACTAAAGAGCCTCTTGATGAAAGTGAAAGAGGAGAGTGGAAAAGCTGGCTTGAAACTCAACATTCAAAAAATGAAGATCATGGCATCTGGTCCCATTACTTCATGGCAAATAGATGGGGAAACAATGGAAACGGTGGCATATTTTATTTTCTTGGGCTCCCAAATCACAGTGAACAATAACTGCTGCCATGAAATTAAAAGATGCTTGAAATAATAGCTATGACAAATCTAGATAGCATATTAAAAAGCAGACACATCACTTTGCTGACAAAGGTCCATAGAATCAAAGCTATGGTTTTTCTAGTAGTCATGTATGGATGTGAGAATTGGACTATAAAGAAAGCTGAGCACTGAAGAATTGATGCTTTTGAACTGTGGTGCTGGAGAAGACTCTTGAGAGTCCCTTGGACTGCAAGGAGATCCAACCAGTCCATCCTAAAGGAAATCAAACCTGCATATTCATTGGAAGGGCTGATGCTGAAGCTAAAACTCTGATACTTTAAATCACCAGATGCAAAGAAGTGACTCACTGGAAAAGACTCTGATGCTGGGAAAGACTGAGGGCAGAAGGAGAAGGAGAGGCAGAGGATGAGATGGCTAGATAGCATTACCCATTCAATGGACAAGAATTTGAGCAAACTCCTTGAGAAAGAAATGGCAACCTACTCCAGTATTCTTGCCTGGAGAATTCCATGGACAGAGGAGCCTGGTGGGCTACAGTCCATGGGGCTGCACGGAGTTGGACATGACTCAGTGACTAACACTTTCATTTTCACCAGGATAGTGAAGGACAGGGGACTCTGGCATGCTGTAGTCCATCAGGTTGCAAAGAGTCATTCCTGACTTAGGGACTGAAGAAGAACCACAATAGCAACAACAACCCTCCCATCATTTCTCTAAGGGCCCCAGAGCCCCTGGCATTCCCCTGATATGGGAGAGGAAAAACTGCTTTCCCTATCCCCATTTTAGATTCACTGCTTGGGGCCCTGTAAATTAGATTGATAAAGGACAGATTAACAGGAGAAAACAAGCGCAAGTTTATTAACATGTGAATGGTACATATACAGAAGAGCCCTCAATGATGAGTAACTCAAAGTGGTGGTTAGAACTTGGGCTTATATAGTATCTTAAAACTAAATTTTTGGAGAAGTGACAAGACAAAGGAAAAGGATTTTGAGCTTCTAAGGGAGCAGTTGGAAGGAAGGTGAATATTAATATATGGACGAACTGATGGGTGATAAGAGTTGTTTCAGTAAAGTTTGCGATGTAGATCCCTCTGGTGACATTTCTGGACTAATAAGGGTCTAGAGTTGTGATTTACCTCTGTCCTTGAACAGGGAATGGGGACACCTTTACGGATTTATGTCCTGCTTCTGGGCAAGTAGGGGGAGAACAGAGAGCTTTTTTGTGTCTGCTTCTCCTCAGTTGCCTTCAGCTCAAAATCATTCTATGCCAAGGTGGCATATTTGGGGGCAGTACATTCTGCTACCCTCATAGCTCTATGAGTAGGCTCCCAGCTCCCCCTCCTAGGTCACCACTGTAGTAACTTAATTTCCACTTCATTGAACTTCTTTGGGGACTGTGAGCCATCACCTAGCACCAGCTGCCTTGATCACACAGGATTCTCAGACTCTGGAAGGTGATGTCACCTTCCATACTCGTGTATACCAGAGGCAGTCGATCTGGGATGGTCAGATCGTGTCAAAAGATGCACATGAATAGGCAAGAGGAAGGAGAGAACCGCTGAGGCTCACCGCAGTCCTCCTGATGGCCGTGTGTGTGGACTAGGGGCGCCAGGACACGGCTGCTGTTACAGTGGCTGCCTTTTGGCCAAGTGTTGAAAATAATGATCATGCCTCATTCCGGTCCTCTGTTGCTGAGAATGCAGAACTGATTATAAATATGTTCACTGGTCGTTTATCCCAAACCTTAATATTTGTTCTCTTCTCTGCCCTACCCTAATCTGGGGAGTGGGAGTGGAGGATATCTGAGGTGAATGGGCTGGGAGGAGTCAAGAGGAAACTGCTGAAAAGCTGACTTTCCAGTTTGGCTGGCCAGTAGATTGCCAGCCCCAGCTACTCTCCCCTCCTCCCAAAACCTGACCGCCCTGTAGATCAGAAATTACACTGTTACTCATTTCATTGGAGGGAATTGACTGGTTTGGTGGAGGAAGACTGTCAAATAAACCCTCAGCAATTGTTTATAAATTCGTTTAGATTGCTTGAGTACATAGGAGTCAAGATGATCTTTATAGAAGGTGATGAAATTATATACTAGGATTAAAACAACCACATGAATAAACCTGTTTATAAACAGACACCACCAAAGGTGCTTTTTTCCCCCCAGCCTATGGGAGGAAAAAAAATGATAATTGTAAAAATTTAACCTTTATTCCTTTGTAATTTTCCACAGATTGAGAAGATAGGGCATTGCCTGAACAACAGCAACAAAATTTTTCAATCTAAGAACAGAGTTTTGAATTGAGACAATCATAAGGGTTTTGAATGTTCATCCCTGCCGAGGAACTGCTTTGAGCTATAGGACAGGCAGCAGCCCCAAGTGGCTCACTTGGCTGTTGTTTCGTTTGCACTGAAGACATCAGAGGAAAGGAGATGTTACCATGTTGCTTTGGAGGAGTGATGAGATTCACTGTGTCCTCTGCTGTGTCCTTCAGCCCACCCTGTGCAGGCCTTGAGGCCTCTCCTTTCTCCCATCAGTAGGGATTGCATTAACCAGCTCAAGCTGCCATAACAAACTACTAATGAATGGGTGGCTTAGACAAATATATTTTCTCACAGTTCGGAAGACTGAGAAGTCCCAGATCAAGGTCCAGCAGGGTCAGTTTCTGATAAAGACTCTCTTCCTGGCTGCCTTCTTCCTGTGTCCTCACAGGGTGGGGAGAGAGAATAAGCTCTCTGGTGTCTCCTGTTACATCAACTTATCAGGGTCGCACCCTTATGACTTCATTTAACCTTAATTACTTTATTACTCCAAATACAGTCACACTGGGAGGTAGGGCTTCAACATATGAATTTAGAGGGGCACAATTTGACTCATAGCATTCCACTCTTAGCCCCCCAGATTCATGTCTTATTGCCTGCAAAATACATCAACTCCATCCCAACAGCCCCCAAAGTCAGCTTATTCCAGTATCAACTCTGAAGTTTAAAGTCTCAGGTAAATATCATCGAAAGCAGGTATGCATGATGCCTGATGGGTAAAATCATCCCAAGGCAAAATTCTTCAGCTGTGATCCTGGTGCATGCATGCTATGTAGCTTCAGTCCTGTCTGACTCTATGTGACCCCATGGACTGTAGCCCACCAGGCGCCTCCGTCCATGGGGATTCCCGAGGCAAGAATACTGGAGTGTGTTGCCATTCCCTTCTCCAGGGGAACTTCCTGACCCAGAGATCAAACCTGCATCTCTTATGTCTCCTGCTTTGGCAGGCGTGTTCTTTACTGCTAGTGCCACCAAACCAGACAAACTATGCACTTCCAAAATACAGTGGTGGGCAGGCATAGGGTAGAGATTCCCATTCCAAATGGTCCTGTTCTTAAAACCTAAAAAGTCCAATAGCCTTCCTTCACTTTATTTCATTTTTTCTGTCTCCTTTAGTTCACATTGACTGTGTCTTTCCAGGTATAAGTGAAAATAAGTGAAACTCATTCAGTCGTGTCCAACTCTTCATGACTTCTTGGACTGCAGCCTGCCAGGCTCCTCTGTCCATGGAATTCTCCAGGCAAGAATACTGGAGTGGGTTGCCATTTCCTTCTCCAGGGGATCTTCCCGACCCAGGGATTGAACCCGGGTCTCCTGCATTGCAGCTGGACTCTTTACCATCTGAGCCACCAAGGAAGTCAGGTATAATCAGGTACAATCACATCTATATTCCTGGCTTCTGCTGAGATGAACTGATTAAGTCCAGGAATTGCATCCATGATCACTTTATCAAATGGTTGTTCATGTACCTTTAGGATTCTCTTCACAACAAAGTTTCTCTCTCTCTCTCTTTTTTACAATGTGAATAGGCTGATAATTTTCCAAATCTTCAAGTTCTTGTTCCTTTTTGCTTAAGAGGTAGAGCAGTGGTCCCACCTCCACAGTTCTGATATTGGGGTTCTTCAATTCATCTCTCTCCTTTCACATTTTACTGTGAGTTAGGAGGAATCAAGCCACTCCTTCAATACTTTGCTTGAAAATCTCCAATTTTATAGTTCATAAATTCTACCTTCCACAAAACATCAAGAATTAAGTGTGGCTATGCTTTTTGCCACTTTGTGACAAGGATAACCTTTCCTCTAATTTCCAACAACATGTTCATTATTTCCAGCTGAAATCTCACCAGAATCACCTTTAAGTTCTAATCCAAGTCCAAAGGCCTGAGAACCCAGAGAACTGAAGAAGTAAATTTCAGTTGAAAAGTTGGCAGGCTTGAGACCAAAGAAGAGCTGATGTTTCAGTTCAAGTTCAAAGACAGGAGAAGACCAACGTCCCAACTGAAGGCTGCCAGGCCAGAGGAGTTTCCTCTATTCAGCATTTTGTTCTATTCAGGTCTTCAACTGATTGGATGAGGCCCACTCACATTAGGAAGGGCAATCTGCTTTACTTAGTCTATCAATTCAAATGTTTATCTCATCCAGAAACACCCTCACAGACACAATCAGAATAATGTTTTACCAAATGTCTGGGTACACACATCCCAGTCAAGTTGGTCCATAAGTGTACCTACCACAGAGATATCCAAGGAGGTTGTAATAGAATTTTAAAGCCTTTCCTTTAACAAGCTTTCACTGAGGAATTCCCTGGTGGTCCAGTGGTTGCAACTACTGAGCCCATGCACTCTGAGCCCTGGCACCACAACTAGAGAGCCTGCACGCTGCAGCGAAGTTCCCTTGTGCTGATGTAAGACCTGATGCAGCCAAAAGTAAATAGCAAGTAAATATCTTAAACACACACACACACACACACACACAAAGAACAGCCTTTGATTGAGTATGTGATAGGTAAAAGGTCCCGTTCCCAAGACTTAATTCCAAGTGGATTAGAGTGTTAGCGCAGATCCTAAGCTCTTCCCTACTGGATGGTGCGACACAGCTCGCAGTTTCAGTGACTGTAGGTTCTAAATGGCAGCACTGCCGTGAAATGGGCAGCAGTTTCGAGGAGGCAAGGCAGGAGAAGCTCTGCTAGATCAGTGCTTCTCAAGGAGTATATGAAGTACTTGGGTAGCTCATCAAAATGCAGATTCTGATTCAGCAGTTCTGAGGTACAGCTTGAGATTCTTCATTTCTAATAAACTCCCAGGTGATGCTAATCCTGCTGGTCTAGGGGTCACATTTGGAGTAGTAAGGTACTAGATGAGTTTTAAGGTCCTTTCTGATTCTCAAAATTTGGTGTAATTCAGCAGTTCTCGATGAATTTATTCGGTGCCATGACAGTATGAAGTGGCCAATAGAGGTGTAAAATATGTATTTCCTGCCTTCAAAGTGCTAACTTACATTGAGAAATCTGAACAAATAGCTTCAAATTAAGTGATGGCTCAAATTTCTTGGTCCACCTCTGAGTGTCTGGACTCTTAGGAAGGCATTCTTTCTGAAGCTTTTGTATCAATGCCTTGCCTTCCCAAGAAGTTTGGCCTCATTTTGGGGGGTGGTGAAAGCCAGGAATCTGAAATGTGGTATTTTAACCACCTAGAAAACTAACCCAAACAGATGGATAAGAAGAAGAAAATCAGTTGAATGAAAAAGTGTAGTGCTCTTTCTAATCCCACAATGTCAAATGTATTGGGCTGCATCCCTGAGAAAACTAAGAGTACACAGCCTTATGCACAATATAGCTCTGAGAAAGGACGTCTCTGAGTTCCCCCAAGAAGGAATGGAGGAGATACTCAGCAGGGAATGGCTAACACTGTGGATAGGGATCATGCATGCTCGGATGGGAATGGTCATGGGGTGTTCAGAAGGGCCAGAATTATCAAGAAGTCTTTCAAGCTAAGGACCTTGATCCCTTAGGTTCAACTCAGAGTGGCAAAGGATGGGGAGGGAGGAGTTGAGAGGTAGTCGAAAAACCGGTAAAACTGTAAACAAAAGTGGGAGAATGCGATGGTGTGAGGGATGGGGTGGGGAACCTCGCTGGCCCAGAGGAGGAAGATGGCAGAAGGACCAGGTGATTCCCCTTATGGCGTTAGCTATGAAATGAATAGCTGGCTACAACAAGCAAAACGCTTGCTGACTAGGCCTTTTCACAGTGAACAGCTCAGGCTAGACTCATGATTGCTGGTGAAAGCAGAAACCACTTCCCTGAACAGTCCTCCTGCTACAATCCAGTTCTCCAGTCCCTGCGTGCCTAGCCCTAATCCCCACTCTCTACCGTCCATGGTGGCCCTGCTAAGGTGGAGGCCAACTGGAAAACCTGATAGAGAGCCTCCCCCTAAGCCCCTTGGTCCACACACACACACACACTCACACACACTCCCCTTACCAGGCCAGTTGATTGAGCTCAGAATGCCTGAGCTGGTGGGGGTTGGAAGAGGGGGAAGGGGGAGGGAAGGAAGAGGAGAATCAAACAGAAACCTTCTCATCTTTCTATCAGCAGCCATGCAAGGAATATTGTTCAGCATGGCACAAAAGCGGCACTGAAAATAGCTGCAGCCAGAGCGGGGCTGCCAACCACTGCCTGAGATAACGTCTACTTGGAGACACTGGTGTCTTTGTGGCGCTGTCAGTGTCCCTATTGTTCCCAAGCCTATTGCCTGGGGAATATTGTTCCCAGCTTTTGTCTCCCCCGGTTCACTTTTGTTTGCCTTTACTTACCCTTTCATTCCTTGCTGCCTTTGTGCTCTTCCATTTCCTCCTTTGTCTCTCCTTCTCTAAGCCTGCCTGTGGCTGTGGATTGGTGCCCAGGGAGACAATAGGCCCTACCCAGTCCCAACCTATGGCCCCACCCTGAGCCACACACACACCGTAGTTCTTGCTCTGCTAAGTGGCACCCAAAATGTCCCAAAGGCGGGAGAGCCTGGAGGGAGGGTGGGGCACAGACTACCCGTTCCCCTCCGGGTAACAGTGCGGAAGGCCAATGGGGTATTTGGTTCCAGGAGGAAGTCTGAAATGCCTAAAGCGGGTCCCTGTCTCTTTCTGGATCGCTTTCTCTTTTTTTTAAAAAGCAGGTTTAGGGCCCAAAGGGATAGGACATGCTCACACTCCGCCTCCCCCAAACGTTCTCTCAAGTGCCCCACATGCACGCCTCTGACCAGGGCACTCATTTTTCTTCCCCCTCCCTTTCAGCCTCCTGGATCAAAGCGACTTCTGTTTATTTGCACATTCAAATCCAGACTGCCTCCAGTAATCCGATCCAGTCAGGCGCCAGGATGGTGCAAGAAAAGCCCCGCCTGCACCCCTCCCCCTATCTAACAGCTCTTTTGGCAGAACTGGGTAAGGCAGGGGACAGGGGTCTCCTAGGGTCAGAGCTGGGAATGGAAGAGAGGCTGGCAGTAAGATAAAACTGCCAATTCCTTTAGAATGGCCTGTGGTTCTGTCATTTCAATGACAGGGGACATTAAGTCATCAAAGAGACTTAGAAAATATAGGACTAAGGCCTTGAGTTTGCCTGCCACCGCCCAGTATGCGCAGGTGTCCAGTGGACACCCAGCCCTGCAGACAGACTCCTTAGTTCCAGCCAAGAGAGGACAGGCCTCAGGCTGAACTTAAGGGGCTGGCATTGACTTGAAGCCTCCAAAGACGTTGAGAGAAAGTACTTTTTGTCTACCTCCCCCAACTTCCAGCCTCTGTACAGAAGAGGACAGTGATTGGAGAGTTGAGGAAGTTTTTACTTTGGGGGAAGGCTAAGAGTAGGGACTTAGCCTGAAGCCAGAGAGGAGCCTCTACTCTCTCATTGTTCTAGTTCCAAGGACAATGGGAATAGTCTCCAGAGGGTCATTGTTTCAAAAGCTGGAGATTGGGTAGGGGATTTCCGGAAGCTTTGAATGGAAGCCAGGCTTGGCTGGGAGGAGACCGGAGGAGGAAGAAGAGGAGGAGGAAGGGGAAAAGGAATGGGAGGGGGCGTTCTGGGGTTAGGGGAAGCTGCTATGGGCCCTGAGGACGAACTTGCCCTCCTGATTTTATTCCTCTCCATTCAACACTTCTCCTTTTTGTTCTGATTTTGCTCTGCCTTTCTCCCCATTCCTCTTTTCCAGCCAAAATTAACTCTAAATTCTTAATACTCTTAAGCATAAGGAGACACAAAAATAATTTTCCCTGCCTTAAGGGTTGAGTCTGTTGCACCATTGTAAGCTAAGGTACACTGTCGAACCATCAAAGGTGATTGTGTACCAGGCAATATATTCAATTTATTTGAGACTAAAATATTTCCCTTGTAGCTAGGGATGACCAATGAAATATAAATGGAATAGGCGATGCTACTGCTGAAATCTTAGCTTTCTCTGCCACTGAAGACAAACTTAAATAAAAATACAGAGACAGTTTGGAGGAAATAGAAAGGTGGTTTTAATCCTCATTCAGCAGAGGGGGAAAATACGATAGGTTCATGCCTCAAAACTATTTCCCCCCTCTCCATGAGGAATCTGGGGGATTATAAATGAAGAGGGCTTGCAGTCAGGGGTAAGAGATGAGGAACAAAGGTATGAGGATCTTATTTTTTCTTTGCTTTGTTTCAAAAACAGTCATAGGCTGGCATCCAGTAATCCGGTCTGGCAGTCTGGTAACTCAGTAGTTGGGTCCACTGTCTTTTGTGTATTTTACTGTGGCATTTTTTCTGTTTTCAAAAAGAGAAGAACTACTACAAGGGGTGGTTTGCAAAGAGAGTGTTATAAAGGTGAGCACCAGATACAGGATGTAATTTGCATAGTGAAAGGATAATAGGTGCAAAATGTCAGAAAAGCAAACTTAGTTACAGATTAGGAACAGTTAAAGTACAAAGTAGGAGTGATCAGTCCTGCTTACTGTTCCCTTTATCTTCTTTGCTCAAAGAAGAGAGGAACTCATCCCTCTATTTTGTCTTTGCAGCAGGGAGGCCAATGGGAACCTCACCTAAAGGGGCGGAATTGTTTGACCTTTCCCATTTTCCTAGTTTTTCTTTTTTAACTGTACACTTCTTGTTTTAAATTTTAAAATAATTGTGTACTTATTTATTTTTGGCTGTGTTGGGTCTTCACTGCTGCAGGTTTTTTCTAGTTGCGGTGGTCAGGGACTACTTTCTAGTTGTAATATGCAGGCTTCTCATAGCAATGGCCTCTCTTGCTGTGGAGCACCGGCTCTAGCTGCAAGGGCTTCAGTAGTTGTGGCATGTAGACTTTAGAGCACAGATTCAATAGTTGTGGCACACATCCTCCTGGACCAGAAATCAAGCCCCTGTCTCCTGCATTGGCAGGCCGATTTTTTACCACTGTGCCACCAGGGAAGCCCCTCACTTCCCTCGTTGACCTGGCTGGAATATGGTTGAGATAGCTGGAGATCTAGCAACCATCTTGTGACCACAAAGGGACAATGAAGAGAGTTTGAAAGTTTTCTGTTAAGGAAAGCCAAACAGAAAAGTGGAAAGTACTTGGATCCCTAATGACTGAAGAACTACAATTTTAGCCTCAAACTTCCTACTATGAGGTTTATTTATGTGGGGTAGAAAAGCATTTATTTGATTAAGCCCTCTAATTTGGGCCTTTATTATTAGGACTCAGGCACAAATCTCACTAACACAGTGGCATGATTTACATCAACAAGGGAAGAAATTTCTATACCATTTCTTTCTGTTTGTTGAATTGCTAGAAAAAAGAAATGTCAAAAGAGATATCCCATTGTGTACTAGAGCATGTGAATAATACTGTAAAATTTCAAAGTGAAGTCACAAGCTGAGTTTGGAAGCAGGGGCTAGAGAGAACACAATTGTTCTACACAATAAAGTAGAAGAAATCATTCTGAACTGACGGGGAGAAGTGAAGAGGCCAACATGTAGAAGATTGCTATGGCAGTTATATGGACATTAGAATGAAGTGGCAGCTGATAGCTGGAAAGAAGAGAAGGGGAAAATCTCTAAAAGAAGAAAGACACAAGAACTAAAAAGACACCATTTATTAATATTAATCAGGCTTCTGCAACATCATATAAAAATGGACAGTTCAAAATGATGAGTATGTGTCATCAAAAAAATTCACTCCAGTTAATAATGCAAGAGCCAAGTTCTGGGTCAAGAGAGCTTGGGAAACAATTGCTAAAACCTCCTCTTTCTTCTCTGAACACAGAAAATGGGGGAGAAAATAGATTTAAAAGCCAAACTTGAGAACAAGAAAAGGAAATATTAAAAGCTACCCAAGGGGTAAAACAAATTACATAACAAGAAATAAGAATCAGATCGATACCAGACTTTTTCATATTTAACAGCAGATGCCAAAAAACAATGGAATAAAATCATCAAAATAGTGAAATAAAATAGTGTTAAATATAAAATTCTATGCCCAATGAGACTAGTATACCAGAGTAAAGGTAAAGACATCTTTAGGCATGAAAGATCTCAGAAATCTTAGTAATCACAGACTCCCACTGAAAGAACTACTTCAACAAGAAGAAAAGTGAATCATAAAAAAGAAAATGTGGGATGTAAAGTTTAGCAGATTTTCATATAGCATGTGTAATTTTTTGTATTTTTTTTTTTTTTTAGATTCCACAAATAATATGATGTTTGTCTCCCTTTGTCTGACTTACTTCACTCAGTATGCCTATCTTTAGGTACATTCATATTGCTGCAAGTGTAATTATTTTGTTCTTTTTTTATGGCTGAGTAATATTCCATTACTGAATGGATGATGAAGCTGAATCTCCATTGTTTTTGTCATCTGATGAGAACAGCTGACTCATTGGGAAAATTCCTGATTCTGGGAAAGATTAAGGGCAGAAGGAGAAGGGGACATCAGAGGATGGGATTGCTGGATGGCTTCACCAATGCAACGGACATGAACTTGGGCAAACTTTGGGAGATGGTGAAGGACAGGGAGGACTGGTGTGCTGCAGTCCATGGGGTCTCAAAGAGTTGGACACGACTGGGTGATTGAACAACAACAGTAACAGTCCATTGTGTAGATATACCACATCTTCATCCATTCCCCGCTCGATGAACATTTAGGCTGCTGCTGTGTCTTGGGTGTTGCAAATAGTGCCTCAGTGAACACTGGAGTGCAAGTGCACGTGTCTTTTCAAATTATTTTCTCCAGTATATGCCCTAGAGTGGGACTGCTAAATCTTATGGGAGTTCTATATTTAGTTTTTTTATGGAACCTCCATACTGTTCTCCATAATGGTGGTACCAATTTATGTTCCCTCCAACAGTGTAGGAGGTTCCTTTTTCTCCTCACTCTCTGCAGCTTGTGGAGTGTTTGATGGTTACTCTGACCAGAGTGAGGCACTATCTCAATGTATCTTGCATTCCTTTAAGAATTAGTGATGTCAAGCACCTTTTAATGTGCTTTTTGGCCATCTGTATGACTTCTTTGGGGAAATGTCTATTTAGATCTTTTTCCCATTAAAAACTTTTTATTTATTTTTATTTTTGGCTATACTGGGTCTTCGTTGCTGCATGTGGGCTTTCTCTAGTCACAGCAGGTGGGAGCTACTCTCTAGTTGTGTTGTGTGGGCTTCTCGTTGCAGTGGCTTCTCTTGTTGCAGACCTCAGGCTCTAGAGTGTACATGCTTTTAAGCTGTGGCTCACAGGCTTAGTTGCCCACAGCATGTAGAATCTTCCCAGATCAGGGATTGAACCAGTGTTCCCTGCATTGGTAGATAGATTCTTAGCCACTGGACCACCCTGGAAAGTCTCTTATGTCTGCTTTTTGAGTTGTTTGTTGTTTTGATATTGAGCTGCATGAGC